ATTTCGTGTAACTCATACATTACACGAATGCCCTATGATCTTCCAATCTTGTTGGTACTACCAAGGTTACAGAGATCCTGTTCCAACCGATCATTGAAAGACAGTAGCCATCGTACAAGTAGAATATTCGAAATTCGTCGCCAGTAGGTTTCGAACCCTCTACCTAGCCGACATATTGCTTGGAGTGCAATAACTTAACCACTTCACTAAGTCGCCACACCCTATCTATATTTAATTTAAAATACCTATAACAATAATGTTATTAACAAATATTAATATCTTATCAAATGCCCAACTACAATTCAGAAATACCAGTACAGTATCAAACCAATACAATATCAACCATATTAAAAATTATGCTATAATGAAAAATAATACAATAAAATAGAAAATTAACTAAACTAGAATACAACTCTATTATATCTAGAAATAAAGCTATTACTTCTTATTAAGTATATTGATGAACTTATACTATATAAAATACATGATATTATATAAGATGATCACATGATTTAGAATATAAGATAATTATTGATGATACTTTCATCATAAAAAATCAAGCATACAAATAAATATATTACAAACAACATGATGCTCTCTGCTACAACAAACAAGATTTGTGCTATAATACTTTTATTCTATAATGATCTATACTAAATCTGTGTAGAATTCAATCATTTTATATAATTAAAAAATTTCACATTAGGATTAGTCTATGTCAAAATTAGTCTGCTATACTTTATATATATAAAAACAAGTAACTATTTCAAATATAAATCTTATCTTGACTTACATTAATATATACCACGTATTCCTAATAAAAATTACTTGATAAAATTTATTATGTAAAAAAAAAGTAATACAGGTATCCAGAATTTATGAAAACTCAGTAAACTACCTTTCGGTAATTACAATTTTTAATACATAATATATGGCTTATGTGATCAAATTTTCAGCAATTTAGGAGTTAAAACTTGGATATATATTCAAATAAAATAACACAATAATGCTAGCCAAACTTCCGTAAGTTGAATAAAAAACATGTAATACTATAAAAAAACATAAATTTAATTACTGTCAGAAATAATGTCATTGAGTTTCAAATTTTGTAATCCACTGTCCATACTCAAAATTGATTTAGTAAAGGGAATAAACTTGCTTCCACCACTAAACATGTCTGCATGACTTTTGATATTTTCAAGATTTACTCTTGATTTATTCAATTCTGATAAAATATTTTTGTTATTTTGCCATTTCATAAAAATTTCACAGAGTTTTTCGGATGATGGTCATTTTTTAGGTTCTTTATTCCAATATTCTTTCATCAGATTTATGTAACATTGTGGAGCTTCTTTGTTAATAGATGGTCATAAGTAATTAAAGCATATTTTTAATTGAAGTTGTTATTTACTAATGCGTCACAGCTTACTACAATAGTCACAGAGTCCATGAGCCACAATTACTACAATGGTCACAGAGCTATCACTGATGTCTGTGAGCCATAATTTACTACAATGGTTATAGAGCTAACTTAGTAGTCTATAAGCCAAAAAATTTTCTTTTCTTTTCTCACTTTATTTTTTCACTTTTTTTTTTATTTATTTATTTATTTATTTTTTTATTTTCTTTTCCTTTTCTTTTAGAGGGCTGGCTTGTCCAATTTGAGCTTTGGCTCCATGCAAATATTCTCAGATGGCGGGGGTGGGATTATAAATCTAGCCTATCAATAAGGCGAGCAATAGTAAAACAAAAGAGGAAGAACAAATACTAACAAACAATCTCTATTTAAATCCATATTTTCTTTTTACAAGAATTTTCACACAAAACAATCTCTCAAAGAATTCTATTACATAATAGGACTTTACATGTCCTTTTTGATATATACTTGGTCATGCATTATCACGTGATCTCAACTTCGTTGACAAGCCAGTCATTATTATTGCTCGATCATTCACACAACTTTATTATGCATATATCATAAGCTGTATATTGGAAATATACATATGGGAACAAGAAGAGGATTGGAATGATAATCCCAAATTTCTTACTAACATCATTATTCTTATCATTCGTTCATTCTTTTCATTCTTTTTTTTTTTTTTTTTTTTAAAAATCCTATTCACTTTGACACCTCCATCTGTGCTGTACCTATTGATCATTAATATAACATAACCGCCTTACTGTCTCAACCTCCAATTGCACAGATCTGAGTTAACGATAAACCTACCTCCATTGCTGCTGTGGCACCACCAATTCTAATACTGTGAGCTGTATATCATCCTGACAACTGCGTATTATCAGCTACTCTCTTCACAATAGCTCCAATAGCACTAACAGTCATTTTCTTTTTCCTATTTGACAAGAATAGCGGCCAATTTTTTCAGGTTTTTGGTTTGATTAATAAATATCTCTTAAGCAACCTAACTAGGCAACAAAAACTATTTGAAATTTCAATAGAAATAAATTTTCCATTTGAAAATTGATTGGTCTTTGAATTACAAATCCATATTCAACATAAATTTCCATTAAATTTAATATTCTCCAACTTCAAATTACATAATTCTACTAGTCTACATATTGTCCTTAATTCTATTGCAATCAAAGCTATATCTTGTATCCATATATATTCATATTTGCAAATCGTGGTTTATTAATAACAAACCTTCTCAACGCAAAAATCGGTAGCGGATCATGTGGCCATTCTGGCTTTCTAACTTCCTTGATTTCTTCATCAATGCCTTATAAACCCTCCTAACATTATATAACTTCGATGGGTTAGATAATGATCTTTTTAAGTGTTCTCTTGATACGGCTGCAAGTATATCTGAACAAACCAATATATTATCCATTAAATCTAATCAAATCAAACATGACAAGAGGGAATCCTCTGATGATAGAATAGCACGTTGATCTGTAACTCCACAAAATTCTAAATAAGTTTTCTATGCTTTATCCAACCTTTTATTCCAGTTTTCTGAACATAATTTTTTTACTAAATTTTTTGCCTTATCTAACAAGGCTTTGACTAATTTACCCTTACTGCTATAAACCACTATTTCTTGTTCCTCCACGGCTCTACTTCCCCGATAATCCTATTTCGAATACTATCCAAGGTGGTGGGATTTCTACATAGTCGGTTTGATACTGCAAAAGTATTGGCCACCATTCTGCCAATACCCATATTGGTACAATTATTGTTGCCGATGCTTTTTTTCTATTATATGCTAGAGTACATGATGAATTAAGCCCAAGGAGAGGCAAATATAATTGTTCTCACATCCCAATTTTGTGTAAAACAATTTACTGCCTCAGTTTCTGGACAATAGAAATGGCTATTAAATCTTGTGAGCTTCGTGTTTTGGTGATCTGCTATTCTGTCTATAGTATGGAGACCCCACCTTACTTCCAATTCCAAAAACACCTTTTGTGCCAATTTCTAATCGGATGGGTTTAATACTTGGGTTAACTTGTTGGCCAGGTTTACTTTTGATGGGACCCAAAAGGTCTTGTTTAGCCAAATATCGTACTTGTTCAGCAGACTCCAAAATTCTTCCAACAAGGTTTTTGCTCTGGTAACTTTTCTCCTTTTACTACTGTAGCTAGAGCTACACGATTGTCTATGTGTATGTCTATCCACGAATGGCTCAGAAGTTTTGCGAAAGATCTTACACCTAAAATTACTGCACTTGCCTTGAGTTTTGCTATTTCTCTGTATGAATGCCACTTTTTCTAATTTCCAAATATCTAATTCTTTCCGAATATTGTTGCCCAGCCTATCGTTGAAGCATCGATATAGAGTACTTATGTTTTTGACAGCTTCCAAGCCAGTTTCCTATTTTTTGTCACGAGATTTTGAGCTAACTATTCTGCATCCTCCTGAGTTTGATTTGTCAATTTTATATGTATATCCCAGTTCTACCATTTTCTGTTTACTGCATCTATCAATGAATAGAATTCCAGACAACGCACTCTCATATGAGCAAGGCTCTGCTCAACGATTGTACTTTTCTGACAACCACAGCCAACTGACAAACAAAAATTGTTTCTATCCTGGCATATTCCAAAAGCAGCTTCTATATCTCCAAAATTTTCTCTTGGTGAACGATCACTAATGTCTTGCGTGTGTCTATAATTAGGCCATAAAATCTTGATTGCTGAGTTGGCTCCCATTGACCCTTGTATTGTGCTCTTATAAAGCCACAACTTATCAGGTCCACTTCTATTACTACATCTCTTATTTGCTTCAATGTTTTCTCGCAAGAATACGCTACCCAAATATCGTCGACGTGGTTCCCACAAAAAATTCCTAAAGACCTCCAGTGGCCTATAATCGCCCTCATTATTTTTGAGAAAATTCAAACTGCCTGTGATAGCCCAAAAGGCAGTACTCTGTAATAGTACCAATTGCTCAAAACCTTGAATCCCAAAAATGTTGTGCGTACTTTGTCATCAAGACATGATGATACTCTTCTTTTAAATCCATCATGATCACATACTAATTTTTTCTAATTGTGCATAAAAAACCACCCAACCCTTCGAAGCGAAAGCTTTTTTCTGATAAAGTAGCATTTAATCACCTTAGATCTATTACTATCCATCACTTTTTTGGACCCTTTTTCAGCACAAGGAATACTGGGCTCACTTCTAATAAAAATCCAGCCATTTTATCTGGTCTTCTAACCAACAAATTGCCTTTGTTCCTTGCAAATGTTTTAACTCGTTTCTGACCTACTCTGCCTATTCCGTAGTAATCGGATACTACTTTAGATCTGGTTTTATTGCTAAAGGCATAACCCCTTTTGGCCAAAGCAGCACTCTATACTTTAACCAGTTTAAAATTACTGGCGAGGGCTTGATTTTTTGGTGCCAATATGCCTAAGATGAAATTTGATGAATCCTTCCCACTACCAATTGCTTTACATCAACCTCTTTCAAGCTCAATTTTGTTTGCACTATCCTCTGAGTGTTGTCAATCATCTTGTTTGAGTCAGGATCTTTCTGTTAGTACTTTTGAGTTAGTTGAAGAGCAGTTGGGTGAGATATGCCCAATTCCTCTACAGTTATAATATACAATTGACTTCAATAATCCGTTTGATTCATGCGGCCTTTTGTTGCAAAAGGAATAGTATCCATTTCTTCTTTTCTTATTTTTATTATAAGAAACTGACTTTCTTTCCTCCGATTTCGATTCTGAAGAAGTAGACGTAAACTCTTCCCTATACTTTCTTTTAATTTGTGACTTTCTATAATTTCCTTTAAAAAACTTTCTACTGTAGTTTCAAGTATTTTGCTCCTACTGAAGATAAAACGCTTGTTACTATTCCAATTTGGTCTTTATATTTTTGCATCATCTTGTTATTTCCTCCAACCACTTGTAATGCTAACTTCCATCCTCTATTATTCGCCAACCAAAGAGTAACTACACGTGATTCAATTTCCTCCCTAATAGTGATAAATTCTTTTTGATCATATTCGAATAGTCTTCTTATGGCCTTATCAAGCCGTTTTCTAACCCCAATCAAAAAATCATATTCTATTGGTCACAGGGCTTTTCCAACTTAACCCGCGGCCAAGCTTTGCTCAGCAAACTTTCTTGTTTCATTTCTTTAAAATGTTGGTCCTGCAATGCTCAAAATTATAATCTATCTTTCTCTCTATATTATTCAAGGCAGAAAGAAACACATCAACCGGCACCGCATCTGTCTTTTTTATTATTCTCTTTCCTTCCTCAGCAACATGCTGATTATTCTTCTTACTTGGACTTTTAATTTCTGAACCCTGCTAACCACACTCCTTATTCCTCAAGTGTGATATTCCAGATGTACTTCTTGCTTGTTTTCTGAAATTATATTCACTGCCCAAATGTGACTCTAATTCCAAAGGTTCTTCATTTCAGAAACAAAATCTTCCTCTACTTCAATTAGGTCATTATCATTATTAATACTTTGGCCTTCAACTAATTCTAGAAACCCGGCATTTCTATCGGTATCATTCAAATTCGATGGTAATTTCCCTTTTTTCTTATCAAAATAGGTATTTAATCTCTCCCTAGCTCATCTTTATTACCAAGCGTATCTAAACCACAAGACAAACACAGATCTCTTAACTTGTTTAACGTTAACTTTGTCTAACCAACCACTGACATGATTTTGACGCTCAGATAATTCGTAACACTTCTTTATTGATTTATTTATTTATTTATCCAATGTTCATGCTATGTGGAAAACGATAAAGCTAGCCTATCAATAAGGCGAGCAATAGAGAAACCAAAGAGGAAGAACAAATACTAACAAACAATCTCTATTTAAATCCATATTTTCCCTTTACGGGAATTTTCACACAAAACAATCTCTCAAAGAATTCCATTACATCATAGGAGTTTACATGTCCTTCCCGATATATGGGGTCTTTCATATTAAAAGGGCCCATTTTGCAATATAAACAATTTTTGAGATAATCGAGTTTAATCATTTG